CATTGATTCTCTAATGGATAGTGATTCATAAAACACATTCATGAACCAGAGCGCTCTTACTAATCCAAGTACCGAATCAACACTCAAGAGAATTATTTATCTACTTTTTTTCTCAAGAGGGAATGGATTCCATCTCGTATAATAACATTCCCAACTACCTATTTCATCATGTCTCCAAAATACAAGGAATAAGATTCAGGGTCTCGGAATCCGTACCGAGTATATCAAAAGACACAAATCCATAAATAGGAGTTGGTTAAGAACTTAGGATTAAGATCATTCTATATATGACCATCGGTAGACTCAATTAGAATTCTATGCTTAACGGAAATTATTAGAAATTCATATTGTGTATGTGTCCCTGTTCCACACAATCTCATTATGTGAAATATACTCATTCAATATCTCACTATATTAACAGTACAGATAGCACCGTTCCATTCTAAATGGGAATGGCATGTATTAATAATGTTTTAATTAAATATTTTAAACTTTAATTAAATTCATTATGAACAACATTTTTTTATTATTATCCTTAAGCATTATCCTCTCGTATATAACACTTATATACAATGTTTAAGGTTACATAAATAATCACGAAATTTTCATTTGATATTCATAAAATATTCATAAATATATGCACATAAAATGATGAATAAACTATTTTATTAATTAAATAATAAATATCCTATTACATCTCATGCTTCTAGGACACTATTCACAACATCATGTACCTGACACGTGACGATTTCCGTCACTCATTGCAACAGAAGGATAAAACTTGTTAACGGAATAAAGTTTGGAAGGAAATGATGTTACTCTTTAAAATTCGAGAGGTAAAGTGTTAAAAGAGTCATAGTTCAGAGGGAATTTTTGAAATTAATCTAAAGAAAAAAGAAAAAAGAAAAACACACACACGGACTTATTTTCCAGAAAGCAAGTTCCTTCATAGTTTTTTTTCTTTTTTTTTTAATTTCAAATATCTTTTGTTACTGGTATCTCATACATTTTGTTTCTCTTCCATGGCGTACAGGAAAGTTTGATAACGGTCTGAAATTCTAGGGATAAATTACAAGTTTTCAAATATATAAGGCAAAGTGAGAAAAGAAAAAAGACCTACCTTTGGAGTGAATTTATAAAATGTATCCATTAAATTAGTAGTTATTTCGATAATTGGTTTGATATGATGAAGCCAACTCAGGGTTAACTAAGTAGACCATCTAACTATAAGAAACATATAAGGAAACTTGGGTTGGGTGGTCGAATCTTCATCCAACTCAAAATTTTTTGCCGAAATTTTTGAATATTTAGTAGAATGGCCGATTGTTTAAATAAATATTTTTGGGGACCACATCTTTTTCCTCCTGTTTAAATAAATATTTAGACGACGCTCGGAGGAGAGTTGCAACTATGATGCTTAGTCACGATCTCCTCGGCGGCGAAGTCTGTGTTGGCCTTGGAAATTCAGCACAACAACGTTGCAGCTCAACGACGAGAGGAGACGTCGGAGTCTGGGTGGCATTGGTGGGGTGTTGCAGAGAGGAGGGGGAGATTCAACACAATGGGAGACAAGAAAAGAAAAGAAAATTTATTTTGAACTTTTTATTTTTTTGTGGTTCGCAATTTATCGATGATAATAGATCTTAGTATATCAATGATTGATATTAGTCTATCACTAATTGATTAGTTCTACCATTAATTGAATCAATATATCACTAATTTATTTTAGTCTATCATTGATTGACCTTTTAGCCTATTATTGGTTGACTAAGAGCCCGTTTGGTTCATGGATTATAATCATGAGATTAGAATTATTTTCGATTTACGTGTGTTTTTTGTGAGAAAAAATACTGTAGCGAACCATGAACCATGATTCGAGTCAGAGAACGAATCCTCCAACTAAACGGGCTCTAAAGCATTATTTTCTTTTTTTTAGGTCTTAAATACTTACCGAATAATGAGATAGAAAGAGAACACAAATAAAGAGGTGGAGACAAAATCGTGCAAACCCAGAGAGTGAGAGAAAGAGAAGCGCATAGAGAGAGAGATTCAAAGAGAAAAGAAATCATGCAAACCCAGAGAGAGAGAGAGAGAGAGAAGTGCAGAAAGAGAGATTCAAAGAGGTAGTGGCTGCTAGGGTTTGGGAGGTTAGATTGTGTCATTTTAGGTTAAAAATAAATTTCATCAGCTATTTATTAATTTTAGGTAGATGCGGCTCTTTACTAAATTAGGGCTAGAAAAAGGGTAAAATATGTTGTTGTCCCTACATATAATTATGACTAAATTCATTCAAAGAACTTTCTAAGTTACAACTTTACAAGAAAAATGAACTTAAGGACTTTTTCTGTTACGTCAACACACTAGTAGGTTAAATTTTCAGTCTGTTAGATCTGCATAAAATCACATAAAAATTAAAATGTATGCAGATCCAACAGTTAAAAAACTTAGCCTATCAATATATTAGGCGTACTAAAGAATCTCCCTATATATTAAAACTAAACATATATATTTATATGTTCAAGAAATATATTTTTATTCTTTTTGCTAGTGAGAAATACATTTTTATTTATGGAGTTTCTCTGATAGGCCACTCTACTGATAGTCTCAATTTTTTAATCGTTAGATCTAATTAAAATCACATCAGATTAAAAAAATACCTAAAATATACAAAATTTTGATAAAGATCCAAGGAATTGTCTCCAATCCGGTAGAGCGACACTTATTTATTTCTCTATAAAACATGTATATTTCTTTTTTAAAATGTGTATATTTCTTTTTAAAATATGTATATTTTCTTTTATGATAAAATATATAATATATATATATATATTTTAAAAAAAATATATACACGTTCTAAAAAAAATATACATCTTTGCGGATCTTTTTGGATAACTTCTTGTACTTGCTACAAATATCTTTGTTGTTGTAAGAATGCCTGACAAAGAAGTTACACATTCACATGTACCCACGTTTCGCTATGGTCATGCTATGTTTGTTTGCCAACTCACAAGTTGGACATAGGGAAATTAGGGAAAATGTTACAAACGGTTTCTGCTGTTTTTAAGGAACTTTTACAATAGAAATTAATATTTTATCATATTAGTAAGAACTATTATTTTAATTATCAGACTATTTTTCAACAATTTATTCTATGCATAAGAATAATTTTGTGTCGTAAATTTTTAATATGAACACTTATAAATTGAACTTTTAAACAATAATATAAAGATTAAAATATTTACTCTCGGAGTTCTTAATGTTAAAGAAAAAAGAGAAAAATACCTCTTCTAAATAGTACCATTTTAATATTTTGGTCACAAATATTATCAAAAGAGTAGTGTATGAGGAATGAATGAAAGGTATTGTGTAGTTAAAAGGGTAAAATTCCAGACCAATCATCTCAAATGTAATCTACACCTTGCTCTAATTCTAATTCATTCAATCAAAAAGGTAAATTACATTTTTCAAAATCATGAAAATTTTACCCTCCAATGTAATGGTCGGTGACCCTAAAATAAAGAATGATCCCTCAATAAAAATAACTCATATAGTATTGAATTATTTAAGGGACAAAGCTAGAAATATCACTCAATGTGGTAAAAATTGATATTTATGTCATTCCACTTAAAAAATAAATAATTGTCCTTAAATTAATAAAGAGAATATAAAAAATAATGATGACACTTAATTATTTAGAACGATAAATAATTGATATGTACAAAACCATGACAAATATGTACTTCTTCTCACTGTATTTTATTTTACGCATAAAATGAACTTTTCATAAATAAAAATGGATTCAGTTTGGTTTGTTTCGTTTTTTATTTTTTTTTAAATTTTGGTAGAAGGTTTGGATTGATTTTTGCAATTTGACAAATATACAAAGTGCAAACTAAGCCGAAAGTACAAAATATCAAACCAAATGAAACTAATTCTTAAAATAAAGAAAAGAAGAAAAATAGTCAGAACGTATGAATTTAATAAAAGCCATTGGACAAAACATAAAAGTGAATTAAAAAGAAAACTATTTGGTAATTTACGTATTGTTACTCTCAATGATATGAATGTAAAAACAACTGTTAATTTACATGCATTAATCCCACAATTACAAGAATGTAGAACTTTACAATGAAATTCCTTTACACCTAAATGCTTTCTACAACATATTTTTATTGATTCTCACTGATTTTCATATTTTAATTTAATTCTTACTTCTAAGGAAAAACTTTCCAAAACCATTTTGCCTCTTTTTAGTCTCAATGATGATTCCTCTTTCTTTATCTTTTTTTTCTTTCTTTTTATTTCTCGGTAAGCCAATACAAACTCAACCCGAGCTCTTCCGAACCTAAGCCCCGCCTCACCTCACTCTACCCCATGCCGTTTGATCTAGTAGTCATTGGCGCCTTCCTGATGTTTCTATGTTTCAAAGGATGTGAAAATTCAGAATCTCGTTTAGGCAAACTTAAACCACTAGAGTGCAAATTCTGTGGCTCAATTCTATTTTTGGTCTCACCAGTAGTAATCTCCTGTTGCTTCTCAGGGTCTAATAGGACATCTTCCAAACTGGCAAGAGATTTTAACTGTTGGCCAAGAGATGCTATTGTTTTCTGGCACTCTGCAAATTTATCAGCAGCCAAAGATAGCTCTTTTTCCTGCCATAAACAAGAAAACTGAAGTTTTGAGAGAAAAATAATAATTCAACTATTGAATTTGAATGAAAATTTGGATACCAAAATTATACACCTTAAAAAAAAATTAATAACCAATTTATGAATGAAGTGAACCATATGTGTAACTTGTTTTTATTTTTTGAAAAAGGGAAAATACCAAAAACACTTCATGTGTTTTGTCTAAATACCACTTTTTCCCCTCTTATTATACGAATGCCTAAGACACCCCTAATAATGTGCGTCATTTGAGACACCAAAATTGAAGGGGATTTGAATCCGATATTCTTCTAAAAATTTTAAATGGCTATATTTCAGGAAATAGTGAGGATATTCATATTATTTAGCACAAAGGGAGTTTTGGTTAATAAGCCTCATTCACATAATGATTTTGAAAATTCAGTAAATGCTAACTAGTGTTCAGGCTATTCTACTTCCTATTCCAGGAAATTACTATTAGAAAACTCCATGAGATTCTAGTGCGTTGCAACTAACCTGCTTAATCTTCAAATTGACATTAGCGCTTTGTATACGCTCGAGCTCAGCCTCCTGCTTGTTCTCCGCTTCACGTTTCACTATCAGTAGCTCATTCTCCATTTTCTGGCATCTGGCAACATTGTCTGCGGACAAAGCTCGCTCCTTCTGAACCTCTTCTTCCAATGAGCCAATTTTTGAAAGCAAGGCATTGATCTCATTTTCCACAACTCTAAGTTGAGACTCTGCCAGCTCTTGTTTTGTTCGAGTGGCCCTTTCTTCTTCTTCTGCAGCTCTCTTCGATTCATTCGCAAGGACCAACTGTTTTTGTAGCTCTTTCAATCTCTTTTCGGCTACCAAAAGCTGACTTTGTGATGTCTCGAGATGTTTTTCGCACAAACTCAGTGCCACCTCAAGTTCAACTTTCTCCATCTCGATTTTCTCTAACTTATCTTCTAGTTCTGCTATCCTCTGAATCATGGCATCAAGTTTGGTTTTAAAACGGCTTTCCCCACCAATAGGTTGATGCGATGCAGATCCAGCCACGGTGAAACCGCTTTCAATATCTCTAACTGGCAATGCAGCAAGCCTTTCCATTTCCAGAAAATCATCCATGAGATTGATTTCTATTGATGGGACCATTCGATTTTTCCCAATAATCTTCTCATTTCTAAATTGATGTTCTGTAACTAAAGAAGACGCACATGAACCTGAGTCGCTTGGCTCACATTCATTTAACTCCAAGCTACCCATTTTAAGCGTACCCGATTCAATTGTTAATAGCCTTTCCCCGCTATCAGACTGGCTATCCGTTAAAGATTCTACATAAACTGAGGATGAAGAGCCGGACTTTTGATTGTTAACCTGGGACACTTTCCGAGCCATGGCTTTTAATCTGCGGCACTCAGCTTCAAGCTTAGCCACCTTTTTTATACTCTCTAGATGCTGCTTGCTAGCTGTTTCAGCAGCTTTAGTGCTCAAGTCCCTCTCAATAATCCTGATTTCGAGCTCTTCAGCTTTAGAAAGGAGCTCCAGTTTAAGGGCCGAGTTCTGCTTTTCCGCAGCCTCGAGCTTTGCTTGAAGATCAGAGTCAATTGGGGCAGCAGCTTCTGTTTTAACGTTTTGCAGCTCCACCTGAAGCTCAAGAAGTTGACTCTGAAGCAGAGACTTCAAAGATTCCCATTCATGAGTTTTCTTTGCAACAGCATCGTGGATTTTCTGCTCCTGCTCTTCTCTCGCTTGACGAAGCTGCCTGACACATTCCTTCAGTGCACCGTCAAGATGACCGAGCCGGTCTTCAAGAACGGAATTCTTCTGGTTAGCCGCCTCAAGTTTCTGTTTTAAAATTAACACTTCATTTTCTGCATTCTCCCAGCCTTAACATTCAAAATTGAAAGCAAAAGAACTTTGTTACTCCCTCATGAAAAGGTACATATAAAAAGAAAGTTATCCTCCAAATTCACAATGAACCATATGTCACAGTTGATTTTTTAAACGAAAATTCAAAAAGTACACTTCAATTTCCTTGATGTTGATATGTAGAGAGGTTATTTATGATCCTTTTAACTTCCATTTTACAGTAACCATTCAGTATTTTATTTGGTTTTGTCCCTAGGTCTAATGTTGCTTCACAATGAATTCATATTCTAATTCAGCACTAAAGTTCAAGAGTTAACCTAATTTCGACTTAAAGTTGATTAAGGAATAAAAGTAAGAGAATTAATACCCGAGACAGCTTCTTCTGCAACTTTAGCATGCTGTTTTACCAGGTCCTCCTTGGCACTAATGCTACGAAGAGCGGCGGATAACTTATCCGTTAAGGTCTTTACACTTTCATTACTGTATTCATCATTTGGTGCGGCTTTGGACATGACTTCTGGTGATTGAGTGCTTTGAGTTGCATATGCCTACAGAAATGAGAATTGCCGTCATCATACAGTCACAACATATGTTAGGCAGCAAATGCAAGCTGAAATCTTCTCATGCACTGTATGAAAGGTAATATATTTCATAAAACACACAGACAAGGGAATGTCGTCATAACATCTGGGCAAGGCAAGCTTCAAAATAATAATAGTAAATAGGGAAAACAAAAACAAAAACAAAAGTCATCATTGTTAAGGAATAAAAGACCAGCCATATATTATAGTGTCTACAAGATCTTTTTTTCAGCTCCATCGTTTATGTTCATTCTTTGTATCATTCTTTTCGCAGAACACCAAGCGTGTAAAACACAGGTTCTCATATACCTAGACTAGTTGTTGAAACAATGGGCCCGTTTGGTAATGTTTTCAAAATGGTTTTGTTTTCGGTACAAAAAAGAAAATGAGAATGTTTTAAAAATTATTCTGAAACTAATTCTAAAATTACGTTTGGTGGTCTTTCAGGAGATTGGTTTGAGTATAATAAAAAAGTGAAATCATGTTTAGTTATATTTATGTTTGTTTTGAGTACATGTAATTAATAATCTTAAATTAATATATTAAGTAATTAATAATTGATAATTATTTAGCAAATAAAAATTAATATGTAAATAATATAATAATAATGGATACATTATCATTAATGAGTCGTTAGTAATTAAACTATATATATAATAAATTACTATGCTAAATAATTAAAAATAGTAATTAGTAATTAATTATAAGTAATAACTATGTTAGTAATGTACTCATATTTATTAGACTATGTATTAAGAAAAATAATACTTAAATTATTAACTTTTAGTTACATAATTAAATAATTAGTTAAGTAATTACTAATGTTTGTTTAATAATCTATTATTTGATATATCACATGATCAATTTTTGGTAATTATTCTTTTTATAATGATTAATTACTAATTATCAATTAGTAATTATTATTGATTAGTATATTGCATATTGATAATTATAATTTAATATTAATTATTAATTAAGTAATTACTATTTATTTTTTATTTACCAACTATTTTCTAATTAATAGATTATAATTAACATAATATATGATTGATATATTAATTATTAATTATTTATTTAATAACCTATCATTACTTGTTTTATTGTTAATTAATTTTTGGCAATTAATCTTTAACTAAATAATTAATTACTATATTTTTTATTATTTTATTAATAAAATTAAAGACTTAATAGTAATAAATTAATATTTAATTAATAGTTAATGGGATGTTTGTTTCGAAGGTTCGTCTCTGGTTCTGAATCATGTTTCTTGGTTCTCTATAGTGTTTTTCTCTCACAAAAAATTTGAATTTCAAAAATCAGAGTGAATCATGGTTTTGAATCCATGAACCAAACGTCCCATAAGTAATTACTATCTATTTATTAGTTATTAAGTATATCTATTTATTAATTATTAATTAATACATAATATAATTAGTAATTAATAATTAATTATTTAATATAACATTATTGATAAGTACTAGAAAATGAAAACATAAAAGGGAAAACAACTGAAATCGCGTTCTACTTTCTTCACAAAAATCATTCTCATTGTTTTTTATTTTCGTTTCCATTTTCAAAACTTTTATTAAATAAACACGATTTGTGGACCGTTTTCATTTTCGTGCCTCAAAAGACGTGCGGAAACGTTTTCGAAAACAACTAAAAAAAATTCCAAATGCACCCAATGGGTCTGCGAAAGTAGTACATAAAAACCCTTCAATAGATAAGTGCTAATGCACAAATAGACTTAAGAATTTTTTAATCAATTAAAGATTGACTGAAGGGTACAAATACCTATGAGTAGAACTAAAATATAGATCTCCGTTACTGTTTCAAACTCCTAGATCAGAAATTATAAACACACGTCTCTGTTATTACTGGGTTTAGTGCTCCGAATACTGCTTACCTCAGCCAAAAGTGACTGCATTATGTAATCAGAAATCGGATGCATAAAGTGTGTTAAAAGCACTAGAGGTAGAAAATGCTAAGCATGGGGCACATGCATCAGAAATTAGCAATAGAAGATACTTTATATTATGAAAGTGGCTCCTTAACAATGAAGAAAATGCTGGCACTTAAGAAAAGAGACAGACATTAAGGGATTGACATGCAACTACAAGGATGATCATGAAATGACAAATACAACTCTATAAAAAATCGATTAGCAAGACCGATTGTGTCGCCCAAGTATATGATAAATACTGCCAAGAGATATTTGTAACAGTACATTAGTGGTCCAGGAAATATTGCATACGAAACAGAGAGATTGTCCGTGGAAATTCACAAATAAGCCCGTAGTACTCTATTACACTAAAAAAATGGTCCTCTTCAAAAGAGATCCCTCAAAAGCTCGAGCATTTCTTTCTAGCCATTAAAACCCAAAGACGAAACGAAAACTTATAACTTCCAATGACTAATACTCTTTTGCTTGCCTCAAAACCCCAAAGAAATCAGAATTAACAAGGGCGACACACAATTAGGGCCATCCTCCTTAGCTTATGCCAAAGGTGTAAAGCACAGGACAACAACCAAATTTATGAACAATTATTTTTCCAGGGAAAACACTACGGTAAGTGCATACACAGCAAAGGGCCGTTTCTGTCGGACCACCTCATAGGTACTCAACTTACTTTCCATAAGGTCTAACCAAGCAAAAACTTTCATCTCAGTGGGTAGAAGATTTCCATATAAATTGACATGGAGAAAAGGAGAAAAATTGATGAGCTAGGAAGAAATTCTTCACCAATCCTATAACCAATCGACGCAGGCCTACATGTAACAGGACTTTAGATTCCACACTCAACACTATATAGATCTGAAATGTCTAGTTTTCTCACATCTGGGTCTCTCTTCCGCTCCATAACACAACTACGCGCCTAAATTGAGTTTCATTACAACATCTCATAATCAGTGGTTGACAGTAACATAAATTGATAATGCATCAACCAAGTAATTGAATGAGAAGAGAGCACATTTGACTTTAAATTGACAAAAACAAAGCAATAGCAACCAGGTGTATAACTGAGTTCTCCAACCTATTATTAGGTTTTCTATCTCCGCAGAGGTAGTACCTTAACAATCATTTACCTATCCTTCAAACACATTAACCATCACCTAAAGATGGACATCCAGGTTGCATTCCAGGTCCTAAGATATTAGAAATTGTTGCTCTTGCCTAGACCGGTCACCTCACATAAGGATGCTCAATAACTCAATCCACTGGCAGTTCTAAGCATGAATATTCTTTTTTTAGTCTTTGGAAAACATCACATGCCATATACAAGGAGAGAATAAGATTAAAGCGATACCGTAATTGTACCGAAGAAGCACGGGCTTTTCTACATTTCCATAGAATGCCTTTCAAAAATCCAGAACCTTAAAAAAGCAACCATGAATATAGTCTAATGACTCTAATCTTTCCACCATGATGGGCATGGGCATATGAAGATAAATAGTACAGAAATAATTTCATTTCCCAAACAAAACAAAAAAACTATTCCCTTCAATTGAATCCAGTACTCAATACATTGAAAACAACTCAGGCACCCACTAAACACCAATTGAACATAGTTATACGCTGCATAAAATTTGAGAGTGCGATATTGTCCAAATATATAACTTAGAATCGTGAACAATTTTCAAAATTACATACCACCAAACAATCCAATAAAACAAATGGCAAAAGCTATGAGTTCATATATCAAACAATGTGAATGCCACATACCTGATCATCCGAGAATCTTTCCGAATGCGAAGATATGGATCCCGTGCTCTCGGTCTCACCGGGACTCTTCTCCGAAGACTTCCTCCGCCACAGCCAACTCCGCCGGTCCATCTTGTGTATATTATTGACTAAAGCAGAACCAGGGTGTTAAGCCCTTCAAAGGGACTTCGTTTATACCATCACAAAACCATCTCTGAATTCATCACCACAAACCCAAGTTAATCAAATCCCAAAACTTACTTTTGCTCTTCAAACTTGAATGAAGAAGCAAAAACCATTACTACCAGTTGTATCTTGCAAATGGGTTTCTCTTTCTATGCAAAATTTCAGAAGATTGAAAACAACATGACCAAAAGAAGATAAATTTTCAAACTTTGCGTAGAATTCAACCTTCCCCATTTGATCTAACGCCAAAAACATTAAACTAAAAGTTTCAACCTTAACAACCCAAAACAAACATGTGGGTTTTGAAAATTGTAAAAAGCGTAAACATAAAATTGAATACGAAATGTCTGATTATGATATGGTTTTTGACGTTTATCTTTCTTGACAACTACCTGAAACGCGATACTCGAACAAACTCGTATGACACGCACCTACCAAATTTCCCAAACTTCACGCCATACTCTTACTCTCTCTTACTCAATCCGATAAGAGAGAGATAGAGAGAGAGAGAGAGGACCACAACTTCAAGAGGGTGAAATAGACATACAACTCTTATATTATAAAATATCAAAAAAGTAAGAGAGACCCACATCAAAAAGATGAACATCAATATCCAAAACAAGAGAAAAATCGGAGACCCACATCAAAAAAATGTAGACCAATATTGAAAATGAGAGAAAAATCGGAGACCCGCATCAAAAAATGTGGATCAAAACCAAAAACAGTAGGAAAAACGGAGACCCATTAAAGAAGAGATGAAGAAAGTACCTCAGCAGAAACTACGCCGCAAGATCAGTAGAGAGTTGAAAAACCAATCAAGACTGTCAGAAGAAAAAAATGATAACCAATTTTTTCTTTTCTTTTTCATTTGGGTCCCCAATAATTAAGCAAGAAAACGAGAGAATCACTTTTTATCTTTCTATTATTGCTGTTGTTGGTATTGTTATCTTCATTTTCGTATCATTTGATGACTTTTGGAAATTTGTTGGATTGTTCAAAAAATCAAATGGTGATGTGATTGGCGTTATTCCCGCCTCTGGATGTGGTGTTAAATTATTCGTTCCTTACTCCAATAATTAATAAATGTTTGTTTGTTTGTTGACATTCGTTTATACTTCGCTCAGCAGTGGACGAAATTCAGGAAATTATCTCTCTCTCTCTCTCTCACAGCTAATAACCGGAGTGAGTTTTCTCAATTAATAACTCATATTTGAGAGAGGAATGACACGTTTTCTAGAGGCGAATGAAAGTTATTAGCATAAATTTTGAGTATAGAAATGAATGTATTCTTAAAAAATATATATAAGAAATCCCTAAAATACTCATTGCAAAAAAAAAAAAAAAAAAACTCATTGCATCTTCTCCTTCCCAAAACTATGTTATCATCGTGGTCATTTTTTTTTTATATGTTTCCAATAAATACTATAGTTTAAAAAAAAATAATTATTGTTTTTTTTTTTCTCTCTATTAGGTTAGGGTTTGGTCTTCTTCGAATTTCCTTAGTGAGGATGTGAGTGTTTGGGTTGATTTCGTGGCCGTTGAATTCAGGAT